GACCTGGTCTTCGGCGGAGGTTTTGGCTTCTTGTGCCTCGCGGCTCTGCTGCTTCGCCTTCTTCATGGCCAGCTCTTTTTCTCGAGCTTCTTTCTTGGCCTTGTTGACGGCGATCTCCAACGAGGCGATCCTCTCGGCGGTCTCTTCCTCCCGCTTCGCTCTCGCCTTCTGGGCCGCAGCATCCGCCACTTGCTCCAAGAGTTCCATGATACCAGGGGTCTGCAGCAGCGCCGCTATGGCTCCCTGATCTTGCTCTTGCTTCTTCTCCGCCGCCGGTGGGGCACTCGCTTCCCCCATCGGTTCATCTTCCTCTGCAGGTGGCGGAGTGGCTGTGGAGGGTCCAGCCGTGTCCTCCCGGACTTTGTCACCTCCTTGCCCATCCCGGGCTTTAACCTCACCAACCGAAGTCGGTGTCCCCTCCCGGGGTGTGTCAACCTCTCCCGACGTGTCGGGGGTGCCCTTGCGGGCAGAACTGTCTGATTCCTCGGCCTCCATGGTGGAGGCCGGGGAGGGAGCCCGTTGCTCCGCGCTTGCGCGTCCGCCCAGGCGGAAGCGTGGTAGCCACCCTCAGGTGGCTCCAAAACCAAATGATACGAAAAGTCTGTGGGTGTGGGGCGCCTGCCCTCTTTGAGCCTCGGACCCGCCTCGCCGGGCACCTAGGTCCTTACGGGGACCTAGGCGGGACCACCCCTCCTACTCCCATATCCTTATAAGTATAAGGGTTACCGTAGGACAAGGAATACAATACAATCTTGGGTAGGGCGTCCCCCACACCAAGGGCCAATAGTAGGGCGTCCCCCACATCAGGCCGGTGGGCGTAACAGTGGGCCTGCAAACGTACTAAGGCGTTTAGAGGAGCTGTACCGCTAGTAGTGAGGACAGACAGCCATGCAATTTTTGATAAGTTTAAATCCGGGTACCTTCATGACAGCGACATTCGATCCTACCGAAAATGGGGGTGGCTCGTTGCTAATGAACCTGGGTTTACATTAGAATTCATGGCTGGTTCTCAGAACACGGGAGCGGATCTCTTAAGCAGGCCCAACGGAGAAAGCTTCCATGTCAGACTTGGAAGGAGAGGGGAAAGTTGCAGCTGCCGTCTGACTACCGATACTCGACCAAGGAATAACTCCATCAACAGTTCTACAAAAGCGGGAAGATCCTTTCAAGTGTTTCTAGAGCCAGTTGGACCAGTTGTACATACAAACCATCAGTCAGAAATGACAGAGGAAGAAAGGCTGAGTAGACTACGGCAGCTGGCCTGGAATGAGCATTGTGATGGACATTGGGGACCATACAAAGTACAGTATGCCCTTAGACAGAAGGGACATGTTGTACCATGGTCTATAATTAGACAAATGTGCTCTCAATGCGAAATCTGTGCTTTATATAGGCCGCTTACAGCCCGGAGGGGGTTTGGACAGCCCCCGGTGTCACTCAAGCCGGGTCACACTATTTTTGTGGATATAGTGGGGCTGTTTCCGGAGGAGAATGGTTTGGAGTACATCCAGTGTACAGTAGATTCAGCATCAAGAGTAATAGATGCTGTAGCTATAGCTAGTACTGATAGTGGGGAGGCAATACGTGCCTTAGAGCGTTGGAAGGCATTCTATGGCTCATTTGGTGTCTTGGTGTCTGACAATGCAAGTACATATCAAAGTGACCAGTTTCGGAGGTGGTGTAAAAACAATGGGGTAATGCACCTTTTTATAGCTCCCTACCGACATGAAAGTATTGGGGTAGTGGAGCGGTGCAATAGAACTGTTGTACATCAGCTTGGGAAGCGGGTTCTAGCCACGGGTGGCACCTTGACAACCAAATTAGATTGGGTTGTCCAGAATATAAATAGGTCTGTACATTCGGTTGCGGGAATGACGCCAAATGAGCTGTGGAAAGCTGATTACAAGGTCAGACTGGAAGCCCATCAAAAGTTGGCCAAGGCAAGGGACCGAACCAATCAAAACCTCAGAGTTTTTTCGGAGAATCTGCAGGTTGGTGATACGGTTCTTGTCTACGATTTCAGTCGCCTGAAAAAACAGCGGAACAAGTTGATGAAGCGCTGGGCTGGGCCCTACAAACTGGTCGAGAAGCTTCCCAGCAGCCTCTGGAGGGCTCAGGAGCGGATACGCGACAAGCCGGGCCGGAAGAAGATCCTCGTGTTCCACGAGAACTTCATACAGAAGTTTGACGATGACGAACATGTATGGTGAATCAGCCGGAAGACCAAGACTTCGGAGTAGGAGCGCAGTTCAGCGTGGGAGTGCCCATGTTGAAGTTGGCCATTTCCAGGCCATAAATGACAAGGCAAATGTCTCCATCAACTTCATCGTCCCAGCATCAGCAAGCAACATTGCCAGCAACACTAGCCGACCGATATTAGCTACTTCATCAAACGCATTTTACAGCTGGACATAGCGGCAGCATGAGGAGCGATCAGAAAGTTACAATCCGACCAGAACTGTGCAAGATCAAGCCTCTCAGCGACCGCAATTCCAGGACCAGCTCCAGTGTATAGTTATAGTACCCTACAAGGCCAACTACGCATCAGCGTGCACGGTTCCATCCGACTTTGACGCCCAGCATGGGATAACGACATCCTCCCACACACCCACAAGCCGTCAAACGACCAGCCCGACATCCAAACACTGTCCAAGACCTCCAAAACGGCAAAAGCGCACAGCAGCGCTCCCCTGCACTCTGTCCGTCCTGCACAGTGAGCCCCGCCTCCCACTCCCACTGCCCAGCAGCTGGTTGGCGGTTTCCCAGCAGTCATGACAGCAGCGCGGTTTCGCCAGGTCGAAAGCTGGCGCTTTCTGATCGCTCAGTGGCTCGCCCTGGGCGACCTCTGGCTCTCGAGATGGTATCTCGAGAAGGCTGACTGCCCGGAAGGGTACTGGAGCTTCGGGCTCACAGTCATACTACCGTTCAGCGCTGAGGACGAGCAGTGGCTGCATCATCAGCGGGAGCATGGAGAGGAGGCCTTACGCTATCAGCTTCAGAAGCAGGCGCGCGAGGCGTACGAGCGCACGGAGTCAACGCAACTAACGTCAGGGCACCTGCCAGGGCCAGGGGAGAAGCCGGACTGGAATCCTGACTACAAGCCGGAAGCCGTGTACCGCCCCTGGACCCTCCAGGTGCACCCCCATCCGCATCGGCCGTACACCGGCATAGGGACGCAGGCCTTTCGGCAACGGATCGCAGCGATGATCGAGCGTGAGGGGGGTCGAGTCCAGGCCTGGCGCGGTGCCGAACTGAATTACTACAGGCGCAAGGTACACATCAGCCTCGACATCAGCGTGCCGTTCTCGGACGCACGGTGTTGGCGCATGGAGGGTGGAGGCATGACCCACCGCGAGTACGCAGCAACACATCTGTCACGAGCGTCCGAAGTCTTCCTGCGGGAGCGGAAGGATTTCGGGATCCAGACTGATCCAAATGCCGCCGTCTTGCCATCGGCCGCCTTCGCGGAAGCTAGTGCGATCGTGGCACGACGACTCAATGCGGGCAAACCGCCGTACACGGACGTCGAGGTACGCGCGGAGGAGCGCGCCTGGCGGAGGGCCATCCGGCGTCAGCGCCGGGAAGCGCGAGCGCGTGGTCAAGCCCAGGATGACGTCATGGTGGATGCGACCGCTGATGGGCCCCCTGCAGTACCGGCTACCATCGGCGCTGCCGAGGTGACGACACCGGCCCTGCCACCCGGCTTTGATGGGACGCACAACGAGAGGACGATGACGCCATCACTCCCGCCGGGATTCGGTGGCTGAGGGGCGCGGACTACGGACATTTGGTAGATGGGCCGGCGATCGTGACAGGACGGGGTGCACGCTGGCGGATGACGCGACGATTGGAGGACGCCCGAAGCCAGCTGGCGCGTCCGGAGTTGTCCAAGAGAATCTCTGGCGGAGGAGGAGTGTGTGAGAGCCTGGCTAGTATGCGATTGTACGGGGCGGACTGTAGTGGAGCGTGTTACTGATTGGGTGTTTTCTTGTCCAGTAGTGCGAGCGGACTCGGAAGGGTGACGAGAGGGGATGAACCCATGTGTGACAGCTGTACCAAACAGACGTTCCTGTAATAAAAAGCCGTGGGGAGTCTGTCCAGGCAGCTCTCCAGCAGGCCTCTGTGTGACTATCTGTGTCCCAGCCGCCTGTACCTCCCCGCCGTCGCGCCACAGCCCCCCGCCGGCTCGACCAATCACCGGTCTTGCCCTCTTGCGGTACCCGCATGTCCGCAAGCCAGCCTAAGGAGCCCCGAGGCTCTGTGGCGTATCTCACACTCGCGCTGAGTGTTGAGTGAGACGATCGTGGGATCCGGAGTGACTGAGGGCGGCGCATTACGCAAGGCGAGTGCCGTCGCTGGTGCTGGAGTGCCGTAGCACCCTACGGGAGTGCGGATCGGCCGGTACGCGCAACGAGTGGACGCTGTGAGGGAGTTGCGTCGTACGATTCTGGTGGAGACCTTTGCGGTGAGGTGCGAGATGATTATGAGCTTTCCGGGATCGCCTATGGAAGGAGCTGCGGTCATGGCGGCGTTGGCTGGCGTTGTCGGGCGAAGCGTGAGATTCCTGGGCGCTGGCATCCATTGGGTTGGGGAGCTTCTGGTGACCCTCCTTGGGTGGCTGGCCTGGATGCTCAATATTGATGAGACAAGGATGAATCCCATTATAGGAGCGGTTAGAATGGTCTATAATGGCCTGGCCCTCCTCATTTTGTTCAACATGACTGCCGCCATTTTCTGCGCGATGGGGCAACTTCTGCATTGCGAATTCGCTGAGTCCGACACAATTTTGGCCCATGATACCTTGAATCAGAAGTGCCTGGTGCATTGCTGAGAAAACAACCTCGGTTCGGATATTTCCCGGAGCGCCTAAGGCAACAAAACCTAGTCCCATTTCCGCCCCAGGGTGCCTGCCTTCGTCAACGTCAATTACAATGGACCAGGATATCACTTGGACAAATTGTCGCTGACCCATCGTCGCCCGTCACCACCGATGCTGGAGGATGACCTCGGGTGGTGATGAGGAGCTGACCCGCGGCACTGACCCGCCCCCCGTTCCCTGGAAGTCTCCGGTGGCGCTGCGAGTTGGCGCAGTGGGCTTCGGTAGGCTGCCGTGAAGCGCCGTTGCGGACCCGCTGCGATCCCCTGCTGCAGTGCTTGCGGGACAGCGCCCGGTGCACTTTGCACTTCCTTGAAATTGTGTTGTTCGAGGCTGTCATGAAACCATGGCCGGCCAAGCCCTTGCACCTCGCACCGAGTGACGGGCGCGGAGAGATCCGGTCGCTGTTTGCTCAATGTTTTGAAATCACCATTTCCTACACCGCTGGGTTACGGCATGAGGAAGTTGTAGATAATTGATTCCCTTTACAGGGCGCAGAGAATCAACAAACAGCACCAAAGCAGGAATGGACCATGTCGTGCATTGGGCGCTGCCCTCCTTGCGAGCATGAAACTCCTGCTCACAATAGCTAGTGGCTATCGTAGCGAAGTAAAGTTCACTGCAGACGTTGTGCGGAAGGTGTCAAGTGCAAGGACAGCATCCAAGAGGAAAAGTGGCAAACGTTCACTGCAGCAGGGCTGTGAGAAATGGTGTGCTGCAAACAGCTCTGCTACATTGTTCCTAATGAACAGTGTTGCGTTACTTGTTCGCTTCAAAGGCAGGCTGCGCCACAAGCAAACCATGGCTAATTTCGCCCTGTTTGTGATCATGTTTGGACAACAGTGAAAACAGTTCGGCCTTTTAGAACTGTAAAAACAGTATCAAAACAGCTGTTACTTGTGGCTTCACATTAATATAACAGCATTTACTTGACTTGCTTTGAGGTTTGTTTTTAATGGCATGGCTAGTTGTTGAATGTCACCAATTTGCCTATCCTTAATCGTGCTTTTGGTGTTATTTTGAACCAACTGTTGTGAGCAGTGACTCTTTGGGCAAGTTGGCATAACAAACTCCTGCAGAGTAGTTATACTTGTCCCAGTTTTTCAAAAGATTGCACAATCCTCAGTGAGTTGCTGCAGGACTCTTGTTTCCACATTGTGACACTTGGGGGCAGGCGTCCATTGGCACGAGACTGATGATTACATCCCTGCATGCAACAAGAATAGCGACAAACTGGCCTCGATGCATGTCTCTGCTGCACTAACATGTTGGCATCAAGGCCAAATGGGTGCATTAAGGGAACTTGTGTGATTGTACATGTGGTTTGATTGCCTGTGTCCAGTGTCAACATAACAGCAGCCAAGTGCCTTTCAGGGCAACCGGAAACATTTCTGGCATTGATGTTGATGCCAGCATGCCTGTCCCATACGATTATCAGTGCACCGACTTGTCTTTGGTTGAGTGTGCTTGCCGTTATCGTTTTTCAGATTGATTCAGCATGCCTTTTCCCAGTGCTATATTTTTGTCTCACACTGAAGCACCTTCCTGTGCATATCAAGATTCATTTCCGTCCCCTGTGCGAGGCCGGTGTTGCTGCTTGTGTGCTTGTTGCTGTTGTTTTTGCCAGCCAGATCGCAGGGAATTGCAACATCGTGAAAGCGCGACATCTCCGTCCTGTGTGTGCAATCCAACTGCAAATGTGCCCAGTGTTTGTGCTCATCTTGGGCGTACCTGCAAACATGAACCAATGCCAGCTCAACGGCCCAGAACCATTGGAAATGTATGCAGACATGAAACGAAAGCCAGCGCTGGCGTCCCGAAAACGCAGTTATTGTGTAACCTCATTGCCGTATCGATGTACAATGGCTGTATGTTGCTCAGGTGTGGGAGTCGGCTGCGGAGCTGGCGTCGGGTTCGGAAAGCCTCTCAATTTGTGTAAGTATTGTTATTATAGCTTTAACTGCTTCTTTGGGAACTTTTGTTGGGAATCAAAAGACAATAAGGGAAAAATATGGGACAGCGTGTCAACTTGTGTAAGAATGGGGCAACTGGGCTCACAAGGAGATGAACGAAGTTCTGGAAGGGGAGTGAGGGCAAGGCATATTGGACTCATCTTGTGAAATTCTGAAATGCACCATTTTGCTGCATATTTTGGACTTTCAGTCCCACCCTGGCTTTAATCCTACTTGGATCATAGCGACCTTGTCCTGCTTTGGGCAATCCTTGGAAAGTGGCAGCGGGCAGACAGAGGGAGCGAACAATTGTGTCGGCGTCCTAGAGATTGACCTTTCGGTTTTGTCAACAGGCTCATTCAACTGTTTGGTTCAATGTAGATGCCATCCCTGGAGTGGGCCAAGTGGTGAGCGGCATTGGCGATGGCCTCTCCTCACTTTCATCGATGGTGGGGTTCAGTGGCGGTGTCCCGGTCCGCAAGGCTCTGCAGCGACTGGGTGTGAAAGGCCTGGATGCAGGTGGGAAGCTGAGCTGAATTGAACTCAAATGCTTTGTATTGCTAGCAATTCAAGCAACACTGTGGCCATTTGCCTTGAGAACACTCAAGCAACACTAATAGCCTGTGTTCCTGACATGTACGTTGTTCTCGTTGCCCAGGATTTGGCTGTGGTGTCGGAATTGGCTATGGCTTTGGCGCCGGGCTGATGGTGAAGCCCAGCTTCCTTGAGGACACCAGCAGGAAACTGCGGGAGTTTGCAGGTGGCCGTGGCTCATCCCGTCTTCAGGTGTTGGAGAGTGCGAAGCGGCAAAGCGCAATTGTATCTTGCCTTGGAGAAGTGAAGTTTCTTTTTTCTCTACCTTCTGGAATGAAACCTCTTGGAAATTCTTTCTTTGAAAGATCTCCTGTTTTTTAATGTTGCATCGACGATGATGAGGGACCTCAAAACGACCACCGACGCGCTTGACGTCTATAATTCATTATGTTTGATGCAGCGAAGGATGCAGCGAAGGAATTACCTCCGCTGCAAATTATGCTGCAAAAGGAATGTCTTGCTGTTTTGTTGGCGTTTTGCAGTTTCACTGTCGTGCTTCTCACCATGTAGATTCAGCATAGCAGCAAGGCGGTCGTTGAATGCATGTACAGTCTGGCATTGCAGCCCTCTGAACTTTCTCTCTCTGCCTTTCTGAATTCCTCTCTCAACGTCTCTCTGAGCTATGTTAGGCCACGGGACTCTGTAATTGAGGTTTGAATCTGAAATGTCTTAGCTGCTGACAATGGCCTGGTCAAAGCGAGCTCACACTGCAACTTTTTTCGCGCCATTTGAAGGTTCAACAGTTTGCCAATTGAGCATGTACCAAAACGTGCAATGGGAATCCAGCATACCTTAACAGCTAAGTGCACTTAGCTTATTTGGCCCTTTTGTTTCCTAGTGCTGTGGGCCCCTATAAATGCGCTAGGAAAAAAGGGCCAGATAACACTTTTGCGAAGACACATAAAACGCATTTCATCAAAGTTCTGCACGCTGAGAACACAAAAATAACGCAAACCCGTAAACTTTGTACACGTTGGAGCACGCGTTATTTGGCCCTTTTTTTCCTAGTGATGCCAGCGCACGATTTTCGTCGTTCCAACTCTGATCAAACATGGACAAAGCTGTGTGGCACGGGCGAAGCCCAATTAGGCGCCGCCGATTGCCTGCGGGTGTCGTTTGGATGCGCGACTGTCGAGCTCGGGTTTGATCTGGATGCTAAACGCCCACTTTTGGGGCCAGAAGTGGTACGAGGCCTAGCACTTTGTGGTACTTTGCTGTTCTACATGTTCCACGTTTTCAATTGTGAAGGTTGGCGAAATTTTAGATATAAATAATTTTTGAAAATTTCACTCCTTTTAAGTTTTGGATTTTTAGAATTTTCTGAACAGAAAATTTTGAAAACAAGAAGGAAAAAAATGGAAAATTTGCAATTACAATACCGGACATCCGCACGTGCTGCGCCCGTGCGGTCCTCTGGTTAACCTGGCAGCACAGCATCGCGCAGTCAGGCGGAATAGCCACATGGCCCTTGTTTTTCAGAACGATTTTTCTGGTTTTGTTGCAAATTAATCTATTTATTATTTTATGCAATATTGCAGACAGGACCATGTCGAATTTGGGCGTGAAGCGTCGGGCGGCGAATGGCCCGAGCACAGTGGGTCTACGTGGGTCAGAGGGCCTCATGGGCGTTGACTCTGTGCAAAAGTTCAACGCGGCCAACACAACGGCGTTAACTGGCGACCCACGGGGGCATGACAGAGGTATTTGCACCCATGTGACCACCATTGATCATCACCATCATTTATTTTCACAGAACAAGGCATTGAGGTAGCCGTCAGCTTTTTATTTTGCCCGAGCAAAGCAGTGGATATGATCAGTTCATTGAAATGACCCGCCGCTTGTTACAGAGGTCCAAAAGGACATGCGAATTATCAAGACAATGTGGAAAATGCGTGCATTTGTAACAAATGTGCAGAATGAGCATTGTCACAAGGAAAGTAGAAAATATGCCGGGCATTGCCAGCCATTGAATGCAATTCTGGTGATGATCACTGGCCATGCATTCAAGTGCGGCTGATGGCTCCTTCTGGGCGATGAGGTCGGTTGCCTGTGACCGCAGTGACCTGCTCTGAATGGATCCATGCACCGCCTGAGCTTGCGCGGAGCCCACAGCTGTCTGTCATCACATCTTCTCTATTGCATATTAGGTCCTGCTATTGTCTCTTTTCTATACATTAGCCCTGGTGCAGTTTTCCTTGGCATGGCAACAGCGTCCTTTGACCGTCCTTGCAATGTTGCATCAGCTTCTTCCTGAGGCCTGGATGCAGCACGATTCATAGAGCCACCGGAGTGGGATTTGCATTTACTTTTTCCACCACACGTCCGATCGTATTTGCTGGCGAATGGAGAATCCGTGAACTGTTTCTGTGGGAACAGAATAGTGCCAGAGGCGATGCATTCAATCACATCACCCGAAGCAAGACACGGCAGTTAACATCTTCCGAGTGCCTTTTCATTCATTTTGCAGAACAAGGCAATGAGGTAGCCTTCAATTTCCTACTTTGCCTGAGCAAGGCAGTGTCTATGACCAGTTCGGTGAAATCTCACGTGTCTGTTCAGGATCCTTGCAGAGCACCCCAGTGGGGAACTCACACCCAACGCTTCCAGACCTGCAAAAACAGCACTCACAAATGATGCTGACGCTGCTGCGCCAGCAGGACGAGATCTCCGAGCTCAGGCGCGACAACGAAGCCCTCAAGGCCTCCCTCTGCAAGCTCGATGGGACGGCGCCATTCTGCGGCAAAGGCGGGGAGAACGGCGGCAGTGGGTAGTGAGGAGCCATCCAGAAGAGTCTCCTTTGGACGGCGTCGCGCAGCACCTGAAGGATGGCATGTCCTCCCGGTGCAGCCCGGATGGGTTGGGGCCATTGTGCGGCAAGGGGAACAGGGCCGTGCCAAGGGGCCGTAAGAGAGGACTGTCGTTCCCAAGGCATTTTCCGCACTGCAAGGAAGTGTGTGTGGCCGCTGGGAGCTGGGCTAATCCGCCAAGTCGATGCTCACAAACTGGTTGGCCATTCGCTCGGTGTTGAGCTGCCTCTTGGCCTTCAGTCACGAACATTGCGCAGGTCCCGCTGACGTCTCCAATTCCACTGCGATACCCAATCCTTCTTCCAGCGGAATCCATTCAGAATCGAGCTGCGCATCCAGTGCATACCGAGCGATTAAGGCTCCGCTGACGCCTCTAACTCCACTGCGATACCCAATCCTTCTTCCAGCGGAATCCATATAGAATCGAGCTGCGTATCCAGTGCATATCGAACGACTAAGGCGCACCTCTCCCTCAGTGTCAGCTCGATCCTCACCTCTCAAAGGGCGAGACGAGCTCACCGTGCCCCGCCCAGGCCGCACCAAAACAGCGGCGCATCATTCCAGCTCCTCTGGGCTTTTCGCCGGAACTGCAGCGCTGTTCACAAAGTTGAAGCCTACGCAGGTAGCTCTGGATACGGGCTGTAGAAGTCAATTTTCTGACGGGCGCTTTTTAAAACATGCCGCACGAAGTGGACAACGGACAGTGCTTTGGCAGCAAAGGTGGGACTACCTTGGCAGCAATTTTGATGACGGGTAC